TCCATCGATCGAGCGAAATTCCTTTGGGAACTTTCCGATATTCATATCTGCTCGCTACTACATCAAAAATTCCAAGCTCGCCCTACTCAGGCTACGAGTTCTCTCAGTTATAAAGAATTCGCAGCCACTTACGATATCAGCCTTCTATCCGAGCCTCTTTTCTCTTCCCTTTGCCCTTCTCACCATTTCCAAACCTTTCTTCTTACTGCTAGCCATTCGCTGTCATCAACGTCCGAAAGCCTCTCTAGTTGTTCCTTCTACGCTTGTCTCTCCGTCCTTTTTCCTTTTCTCACTCGACGGTTTAGCCGAGTGTTTGCCTTTCTCTAGCTATCTTTCTTCAGTCTTTCCGGCGTTTCCTTACCGATCTGGATTAACGAGCCGACCCTTTTTCTACCGGCCACTTCCAACATCCCAGACTAAAGCCATCCGGCCCGTTCGTGACTCGCTTCGAAACGATTCCTCTCGATATAGATATGCGCTACTTCGCCTCCTCTTTTTACTCACTTTTTACTCTTACCTTTTTGATTCTATTCCTTCGCTCCTCGACCCTGTCTTTTCACTTATCCCACTGGCGACCAAAGTTCTTCTCGATTTCCGGGATAGAATCAATCGCGACAACTATCTTAACTGTTCGCGTAACTTGTTCCAGGATACTTTATGTACTTCTTGGATAGAGAATTTCATCTTGTTTCTTATTCTTCTTTCGGAAAATTATGCTGTAGTGGAAGAGGAATTTGGAGAATGTTTTGAGGATTTGTTTTAATTAACAGGTTGAAGAGGAACTTGAAGTCTTTGATACTCCTCTACATCCTCCGGCACCATTTAATTTTGCCTAATGAAATTTTTCTATATTCTCTACATAATTATTTTCATTATGGAAATCTAAGTCGGCCCATCTGTATGGGACACCCTGTATACGTAACGAATAAGTGCAGTTTGATAAATAAACGGTTTTATTTGCTATTGTAATTGAGGACGATTTAGCGAGGCATCATATAAGCCTTGAACGGTGATCCTTAATTAATGGCTGGACGTAGAGAGCCATCCCGTCGTCGTATTGCGGATTAATTTGATTCCAAGTGTCTACTAATTATCGGCGGGCTCGAATTGCGTGCTTGTCATGGGATCGAAATTCTAGCAAGAGGAAACACCTTTAACCTTTCGCATGTTGGTGTACACGTTGGTACGAGAGAACTTTCACGCGCTTATGGACAAAGTGATGAGAGCGTGGGAGATAGAGGATTCGTGAACTCGTTAAGCATGAACAGCCGATCGTTTCGAAGCTTCGAAATCGGTTGCGGTGTAAACGTCACGTTTCAGAGGGCGTCTACAATGGCTCATTAAATTGAATAATCATCGAGGTCATATCTCGACCGTTGAGGATGCGGTATCTACAATTTACTTGGTCATCGGCTGGCAAAGTTATGTTGGTCCAGTTGGACAGGCACCGTTATCGAGTATATTGAGTCTGGACTGGATGACTATATCTATGTTTGTTTTACAATTTCAACTTCGAATTCAGGCATTTACCCCAACACCGCCCCAAGTAATAAAAATGAGAAAAAAATAAAAAAGGAAACATTTTTTGTGTACTTAAGTTTTCCATGATCCCCTCATCTATGAAACTGCATCAACTTAAGTTCGTTATTCTAAACTATCAGTTTAAAATTTCTGGGACCCGTAATAATAAATTTTATTTAACATTTTTTAACATAGTAAATGGAAGGTTTACAACGTGGTCCCCAGAAAAGGGGGTACAGACATAGCCCCCCTTAAACCTTTCCTTAATGATGATGTCTTCACCATTAAAGAATGTTTACTTACTTAAATTTTTATTTTATTTTTTTATTTATTTATGTTAAATTTGAAATGTTGACAATATCAACAGTGTTAATTATGTAGAAGAGTTTGGTTCGTAATATCCACGAAGAGGTGCATTGATATAGTGACCAAAATCACTAGGGCAATGTAAAATATAATAATGCACATCGATGTGATTCGATGTCAGGCTGCATAATGCTCTCAATGAGTACATATTTTATGTGCAACACCATAATGCATCGGCTGTTAGTCGTTTATGCCATATCCGTTTATCACACGTATCGTTTAATTAATCACTCTTCGCACTTTCATTGTTCGAATCGGACAGAACCAATTTGCCTTTTATTACTGGTGTCCGCTCAAATTGGATTCGGTTCATAAACGACCCTAAAATGTTTTCGTATTGACCGAGCCATAGTGCGGAAACGATTAAATAAAAGTCTGTTGTTTTGATATATTATTTAGAATATTACGCTTGCAATAACACCGAATTTATGATTCAATAAATTCAATTATTAATCGATAGAGAGCAATCAAACGAATTACAATCGAATTGTAACAATACTGTGATTAAATTGTTAATGAAAAGCTCGGATTATTTGAATTAATTTGCCGTATGCGAAATTTATAACCAGTAATTACAAAGCGTCAAATCATTTCATTGTAATCAACCTAGTTAATTTAACCTTGTGAATTTCACTATGAATGAAACGAATGTTAAGTTAATTAATTATGATTGATAAAAAGGAATTCAATGGTCTAAATCATTTTTAATTTTTTTTTTTATAACGACCTCAATAAACAATATTTCTCAAATTTTTTAATAAAACTTTTAATTAATAAATGAAATCTTATACTAAAATTATACCACGTCAAAGACATTAATTGTCATTTTCCACAATATATAATTTTGTTCAGAATTTGCCACTAACATGTCAATTACTTAAAAATTTCTTAGATGTATCACATTAAGTCACGAATAAGTTTACGACAAAATCAGATTTACGATATCCTTCAGGACCTTTTTTCTGAAGAAAAATATCAGAGACCATCTACGGTTTCATCTCGTACCACTAAACTTTGCTCATCATCGTTCCCATGCAACTTTCCGACACCACATATTTTACCTTCCTGTTTGCTCAACTCGTTTTTTGTGCGCCCCCATCATCTGTTCCCCGTTTCTTGGCATTAACATATAATTTTCGGCCTGAATGCCGAAGAAATGCGACTCGTAAAAGAGCGAGCTCGTCTTGCGAGTTGAATGCAAGCATGCAGTATGCAAAGTTAATATACACGCACGGATCGTGAAAGAGAAACCAACTTTTTCTCAGAATGAAAACAAAGGGTATTTGTTTCAAACTCTTTTATAAGTTCACTTGAAAAGAAAATATCATTGTAAATAGAAAATAAGAAAGATCTGAAAAATTTCATTTTCTCATTATTAGATTTGTAAAGTAAATTTCAATCATGCATTATTATACATTGCATCAAATTAATTTAAAAACGATTTTTTACAAAAAGAAAATTAATGAAAGTAATTGTGATAATGTTACAACACAATTGAAAAGTAAAAGTTTCAAATTCCTTTGTTCAAACGAATAGCTGGAATAATGAGATGTCGGGGTAATTTTTGAAATGTTACGTGCAAATTCCATCCAACAATTGGTACAAATTACAGGGCTCTTTCCCGTCCGGAGGTCACCGACTTTTCAGTAGCAATTTCATTTTGTTAGTGGCTGGAACACGGTAGGCATGTTCGGTGTTCGGCCATCAGTCATTTCATGACATGGCAGCTAAACACGATACAACTCAATCCATTTGATCCCCGAATAACGGATCCACGAACAGCGTGTGCTTTTGTCTCTTTGAACGGTATAAATGGAAAGCACCCTTTGCGGTCTTTGTGCGACGCAACCGAAGGATAGCAAGTTGAATGATTCTTTTCAGGGTCACCGGATATCAATACTCGAATATGGACGTAGTTTTTGCATTTTTGGCGTTTCGAAGCATTTGCCGATTGAATGAATGGTATGTAATGGTCTTCATTCTTTTTTCGAAAAAGAGATCGCAGTATGCGGAGTTTAACACTACAATAACTAACGTTGGAAATAAGAAAAAAAATGAAGAAACAAATAATTGACAGATGGAAAGTAAGTTGATGAATAGAATTATACTTTACCTTTACAACAATCAATTACACATCTTGATAAAATATGTTAATCATTTGTTATTGTAGACATTTATTAAAAATACCTTGGATGAAATAGATCAATATTTTCATTAAATTATCTGTTTTCACGTGCAGTGCGCGACAAGCTACGACCATAGGATGCGTTGAGAGCCGGGTCAACAGAGGTCGTAAGTCTCTGTTCGATGTTACACCGATAACTTCATTCACGCACGAACCTACGACCCTTTAAGGTGATAGGAGTAGTTGAGGGTGTGTCTTGATTTGACGTAATAAATGTAGTCAAGATAAAACTGATAATTTAATTATATAAACATGAAACGGATTATTGTTTAAATGGTTGAACAGTTAAATGGTTTTAATATTTGGAAGCTCAGAATTTGCGCGGGAAGATAACGTTTCCCTTGAGGAATGAGACGTTTTCCTCATGAAATCCAAAAACAGACTGATGAGACCGACTCCTTCAAGAACCTCTTGACTTTTCCAAATCGTGGGAGTCGGCCTCATCCCCTGATTGGTGACTATTTTCACCAATGACATGGTGGCCTTACTGACCCCAACCACCCCGAGCGTCCGAAACGCGGTCCGCGCGGAGTAAGGGTGTCAGTGGAGGTGGTAGGCGAAATCGCGCGCAACTCCGTCCGCGGAGTGGAACCCCCGCTGGGCCTGGGTCCCGGAAACTGACACAGATGTTGGCCATCAGGTTCAGTCACAAGGCCCCTCGGAGATTCACGTCTATGGTACCTGCAAGGTCGCTGAAAATACGAAATTACTGCAAATAAATCAAAGGATTTACTCAACTGACCCCGCAGGCTTGCATACCATAAACGTGCCAGCGGTCTGCACCCCAGATGCCCCTCCGAGGACAAACCCGCCAGCCACTCGACGGACGGCTATTGTTAGATAGTATTCAAGCAATAAAAAATACAGAAAAATATAAATTTCGGAAACAGGGTCCCATGTACTCGTCACGGAACATCCTCCCCCCGTTGATTGGATACCGATCAAGATATACGTGATAATATGAGCCTGTTTGCTACTTAAGCTACAAAATACTAAATGACTTATTAATTAATTCTATGAAGTTTAAATGCTAATGATTATATAACCTAATAATATATATATTCACGTATGCAATTGATTAATATATGTTTAAATGTAAAGAATATCAAAATATATAATAAAGTCCGATGAATTCAATCATCGATTGGATTGACATTCGCTGTCGATGCTGGCTCTTCCGGCTCGTTGCTTCTTTCTTCGACCTGATAAGGCAAGGGTACCAGACGCTTCACGCTCCGATCTAGCTCACTCGCAGCCGTTTTAATTGTCACGGTGCGAATGATGCCGTCGGAACCCGGGTACGTTCTGAGCACCCTACCCAAGGCCCATTGCATGGGAGGTACATTGTCTTCCCTAAGAAGGACTAACGTGCCCTCTTTGATGGGATGTTCTCCTTTGCTCCATTTGGTACGTCTTGTGAGCTCATTTAAATACTCGCGATGCCAACGAGTCCAAAAGTGCTGCTTGATCCTCTGAATGAACTGCCAGCTCGAAAGACGACTTGGAGGCGTGTCTAAGTAGTCTCGCTCACGTAGACTCGTAAGCGAATCGCCAATCAGGAAATGACCGGGTGTTAACACTAGGAGGTCATTAGGGTCTGAAGACATGGGTGTTAATGGTCGGGAATTTAAAATTGACTCAATTTCAATAATCAAGGTATTAAAATCCTCGAAAGTGAATAGCTCAGTACCCGCGACGCGAAGGAGATGGTTTTTGAAGGACTTTACAGCTGCTTCCCATAAACCCCCAAAATGTGGTGCGCGTGGTGGTATGAAGCTCCACTCTATTGACCGTTGTGCGAGAAAGTTTTGTACCTTTGTATTATGTTCGTCCGATCTGATGAGTCGTTGAATTTCCTGTATTTCGTTATTTGCTCCAACGAAATTGGTTCCGTTATCTGAATGTATTTTAACGCAATACCCGCGTCGAGCAATGAATCTTCTGAGCGCTGCGATGAATGCTTCGCTGGTAAGATCACTCACCAACTCTAAATGAACTGCCTTAACTGCGAGGCAGACGAAGACCGCTACGTAAACCTTTATTCGCGTGCGATTACGATGACGGCGTTCCTTGATGTAAAAAGGGCCACAGTAATCTACCCCTACGTTAGTAAATGGCCGAGCTTCCGTTACCCTTGCTTCTGGCAATTCACCCATAATGTAATTGGTGGCCGGTGGTCGGGCCCGGAGACAACGGGTACAGGTGCGTAACGCCTTCCATACCTGGTTGCGACCGTCAATAGGCCAGAAACGGCGTCTAACGGCATATAATGTACCTTGAACCCCAGCATGCAGTTGAGCTCGGTGCTCGGCTTCAATGATGAGACCTGTGACACGTGCCTTTGGCAAAATTATAGGGTGACGTTGTGTAAAAGGCATTGAAGAATGCCTTAGCCGACCGCCAACTCGGACAATCCCGTCTTTATCTACGAATGGGGACAATCTTTGTAATTTTCCCGCGATTTCAGGGTTGGAACTTGACGATAAGCATCGCAATTCTTTGGAGAAATGTATCCGTTGCAGGAGTTTAATAATGACGTCACGAGCGTGCCTCAATTCTACCGGCGTTAGGGGACCCTTAATCATGTTGTCCCCTTTCCACCGAAGGCACCATGCGACTATCCTTTGCATTTTCTCCCACGAAGAGTAATCGTCAAGGATGTTAGTATCCAGAGGACTGACCTTTAAACAGGTTGCAGTCCTCTGCTCCGGAACGAAGTTGCACGGTACCAGATCTCTCGTTGGCCACGTGACTTCCTCATGCTTGAGCCATTCTGGCCCGTGATGCCAGATGGAAGGCTGCAATGGTTCTTCAGGATGTTGCCCGCGCGAGATAAGGTCTGCCGGGTTGTCTGTTGTCGGAACGTGACGCCAATCTCCTATATTGGTTCGCGCTTGAATTTCCGAAATCCGGTTGGCGACAAATGTTTTTAATGTATGCGGTGACGTTTGTAACCAATGAAGAACGACTGTTGAATCGGTCCAGAAAATGGTACGGTTGAGCTTTACATGTAGGGCTTTTTTAACGGTATTGTATAATGTCGTTAGGAGCAAGGCTCCGCAGAGTTCTAGTCGTGGAATACTCTGTGTTTTCAATGGTGCCACTTTAGATTTGGCTAATAAAAGTTCTACGGTCGTATTGTCATGCATATCCGATGAGCGAATGTAGATGCAGGCTCCATAAGCTTTTTCACTAGCGTCGCAGAAACCGTGTAATTCGATCCTGCTTGGTGTGTCGATCACGGTTCTCCTCCGGAAAACGGTGCTATTTAAGAGAGGAAGCTGCCTATGAAACTGTTTCCATTCTGTGTGGATGTCCATTGGTAAGGATTCATCCCAATCCACTTTGATGGTCCAAATTCTTTGGAGCAGCATCTTTGCAACAATAATGACCGGTCCGATAAGACCCAGTGGGTCGTAAATTTTGGCGATTTCTGACGTAATAAATCGCTTAGTAACGTATGAATTTGCGATCTGTGTTTTGACTTCATATGATATGGAGTCATTTGCAGAATCCCAAATTATTCCTAAAGTCTTCAGCGTTGATGATTCCCCGATACGAATCTTCCTGTTTATAGACTCTTCTGGGAGGTTTCGCAAAAGATCTTCATGGTTGGATGCCCACTGACGAATGTTGAGGGAAGCTAATTTTAGTAATTGCGTCAGATCTTCCCGCAATGACGCTGCCTCTTGCAATGTAGATGCCCCAGTCAACAGGTCGTCCACGTAAAAGTCGCGACGCAATATCTGGGCGGCACGAGGAAACCGATGACATTCATCCTGGGCCAATTGCGTAAGGCAGCGGATTGCCAGGTAGGGTGCCGCGGAAAGTCCGAAAGTGACCGTCCTTAGCTCGTACGTCTGAATTTCACGGCTCGCATCACGCCACAGGACGCGTTGATATTTTTGATCCTCGTCACGTACGAGAAATTGCCTATACATTTTCTCGATGTCACCGGTTATCACGTAACGGTGAACGCGAAATCGTAGAAGAATGTACAACAAGTCTTCCTGTATTCGTGGTCCTATATGCAGCGCGTCATTCAATGAGATGCCCGAGCTAGTAGCCGCGGAACCGTCGAACACCACGCGGAGTTTCGTGGTCTCGCTTGTGATCTTCGTGACTCCATGATGAGGCAGGTAATATCCATCGGATGGGCACTGAATGTTCGTGACCTTGGTCATGTGTCCAAGGTCAAGGTACTCCTGAATGACCGCGTGATATTCCCCCCTCAACGTGGCGTCTCGTTGCAGCTTTCGCTCGAGAGATTCCAAGCGTTTCAATGCTCTTGCTCTGGATTCTCCCAGCAACAACAACTTGTCATTAAAAGGCAATGCGACCACGTACCGTCCGTCGGAATTCCTCTTGACGTGTTGCTGAAAATGTTTCTCGCAGAATTTATCCGATTCTGAGAGAAGTTGTAGTTGAGGACCTTCTTCTATTTCCCAGAAGCGTGCGAGGTCGTGTTGTAGCGCGGTAGTCGCGTTGCAAGAAACAATTCGTGATTTTATTGGTTTTGGTGGACTCCCCCCTATGACCCATCCGAGTCTCGTCTTCTGTAGATATAAGTCGGGTCCATCAGGAGGAGAGAGATTGATCTGTCCGACGCTTACGAGCGACAATGCAGTTCCAGAGCCGAGTAACAGATCGATCGGTGCTGGACGGTGAAATTCTGGATCTGCTAAGTTGAGATTCTTCGGAATTTTAATATTCGAGCGGTCAATCTGTTGATCCGGAATCAATGACGCGATCTTTGGTATCATTAAGAACGTTAATGTGCGCTGATATTCATTAGTTTTAGAACGAATCGTAGCCGTGACTGTATGTTTCGCGACCGTAGTCAATGTATTGAGAGCCCCCACAGGAATATGACATGGTTTCCTCGAGATATCGAGCCTTTTCACGAGGTCTTCCGTTATGAAATTGTTCGTTGCACCTGTATCGATCAAGGTCCTACAGTTTACGGGTCGTTGATCCTTGTCGATTACATAGACTTGAGCGGTAACAAGAAGCTCATTGTCTATTGTGTTGACAACGAAAACATTTATACGACTCGTATCTTTGGGGGTCTCAGGTAGTTCTGGTCATTCGCCAGTGTCTACCTGCGTGTCTGCAGGTGTGCCTGCCGATGCGCCTGCCGATGTGCCTGCCGATGTGCTGAGCTTTGTCGGCGGGGTGGTTGTCGGGCGGTTGACAACCTGCGTCGGTAGATGCAGTAGCGTATGATGGTGCTTTTTGCATATGCGACACGAACCCTTTTTACAGAGTTCTAGATTGTGCTCGGCTCTTAAACAGTTTGAGCACAGCGAGGCCTTCCTGACAGCCGACAATCGTGCACCGACTGATAACGCGTGGAATTTTTCGCAGCGCCAAATACCGTGTTCATCCTGACAAATCGGGCATCGTGGATAATTCGCGGATGTCCCGCTTGGTTTTACCGTCTCACGGGAATTCTGTGTCTCATTCGCGCGAGTCGTGGTCACGAAAGCGTGGCTTCGCGAAGATTGTTTAACAATCGATTTTCCTGGTGGACCGCGGTTGTGTTGTCCGTCTGTTTGCGCTGGCTTTTGATGAGTCATGATTATGCAGTTTGCGCGTTTATCTAAAAATTCGAGCAAACTCGCAAAGGTCGGCATTTGCTTATCCTTTAAAGATAATTCCCACTGATACACGGTTTCAGTGCTTAACTTTGTGAGAATGATCGCTATAAGAATGCTATCCCAAGAAGACGTGTCGACCTCTAAATTTTTTAACGACCGCAAATTTTGGCGAACGGTATCGACGAGATCACCTAATGCCTCTGGCGAATCCCGCGTTATTTTCGGCAATCCGATTATCGCGTTACAATGCTTTAATAAGATTCTGCGTTTACAATCGAATTTCTCTTTTAATAATTCAATCGCATCTGCATAGTTAGAATCCGTTGTGCTTAACGATTGGATACACGCGGCGGCCTTCCCAGTGAGTGTTGATCGTAAATATTGTAATTTTTGAACAAGTGATAAATCTGCATTTTGATCAATCATTGAAGAAAAACTCTCAAAATACGATGCCCAATTCTCGATTTTCCCATCAAACGTTGGCAATCGCATCTCTGGTAATTTAATTGCCATCGGGGCCGTTACGGAGGGCGCGGAAGAGTCTGTGGTGATGCGTCGAGGGGGCATCCTAGGACGGTCTCCCTCGATGAGTGCATTCGCACTTGCGACCACCGCAATGTAATCTCCATGGATTTGGTAACGCCGCGGTACTTCGCTTTCGTCAGCCTCTTCCAGTTCCAGCTGAATAGCGTCGAAACGATCCCAGATTTCGTATAAATTCGTTAAATGTGCCCGTAAAAGTCCTAAATCGCGTTGCTCGGACTTTTTCGCGGTATCGAGGAGCTTTGAGAATGCGGTAATGTGCCCAACAATATTGCCGCGTTTACGTCGCAGGGTACTGAGATTAATGCCTTGCGAAGTGGATTGACTCGTGGATTGGTCTAACGCTTTAGGCATCGTGATAAGGAATAGTATGTAACAGGGACTTGGCGAAAACTAACGAGCCTACCTTTACGATGCGAGGTCGTTGCAGATTTCCACGGTGTCCTGTCCTCTGGATGCTGCTTGGATGTGGATGCTGCGCTCACGTTGAAGATCGTCCGAACTCCCTGGATGCGTGGGTGATCTGGCGATTGCTGCGTCACCCTCAAGCTGCACCCTTGTCCAACGTTGAATTAATATCCTTGGAGTGATCCTTTATTAAATGTCAGGATCTTATGTGTCAACCGGAACTCTACTGCGTGAGTTATTCGATTGCGTACGGTGAAAATTCACTTCCAAAGTTGCGAACAGTGCAGGCTGTGCACGTTTATTCATTCACAATAAGATTTGTTAATGTTTTGTATCAGGATAGCCTGAAGTAACACTGAGCTTGAGTATGTAAAATTCACATGTCACCAACATCCGGCTCGAAGGACCATAAAAAATGTTTTCACGTGCAGTGCGCGACAAGCTACGACCATAGGATGCGTTGAGAGCCGGGTCAACAGAGGTCGTAAGTCTCTGTTCGATGTTACACCGATAACTTCATTCACGCACGAACCTACGACCCTTTAAGGTGATAGGAGTAGTTGAGGGTGTGTCTTGATTTGACGTAATAAATGTAGTCAAGATAAAACTGATAATTTAATTATATAAACATGAAACGGATTATTGTTTAAATGGTTGAACAGTTAAATGGTTTTAATATTTGGAAGCTCAGAATTTGCGCGGGAAGATAACGTTTCCCTTGAGGAATGAGACGTTTTCCTCATGAAATCCAAAAACAGACTGATGAGACCGACTCCTTCAAGAACCTCTTGACTTTTCCAAATCGTGGGAGTCGGCCTCATCCCCTGATTGGTGACTATTTTCACCAATGACATGGTGGCCTTACTGACCCCAACCACCCCGAGCGTCCGAAACGCGGTCCGCGCGGAGTAAGGGTGTCAGTGGAGGTGGTAGGCGAAATCGCGCGCAACTCCGTCCGCGGAGTGGAACCCCCGCTGGGCCTGGGTCCCGGAAACTGACACAGATGTTGGCCATCAGGTTCAGTCACAAGGCCCCTCGGAGATTCACGTCTATGGTACCTGCAAGGTCGCTGAAAATACGAAATTACTGCAAATAAATCAAAG